GTCATGGTTTGGTGGGGGTTGGGAGGCACTGATCTGTTTATTACCTTGATTGTAGTCATGGTTTGGTGGGGGTTGGGAGGCACTGATCTGTTTATTACCTTGATTGTGGTCATGGTTTCAGAAATGTATTCATGTCTCCAAGTATATCCAGATGTACACATTAAATGTGTGATGTTTGTTTGCACCCTTCCCCATATCAGCTACACTTCTAAAGTAAACTTTTAAAAAGAAGTATGCAAGCTAGCAACTGATTGCAAGGAGTAGACTCACTGGGAGGTGTGGCCAGGGAAAATTTTGCAGAGATATTCAGGCTTAAACTTGAAGAGACTTGAAGGGAACCCCTAGAATTGGGAAAGTACTTAGTCCATGTAGTGACCTTGTATCCTAAGATCTAGGCTTTGAGGGGTCAAGCAATGTCCACATGTTGGGGTGTTAGATGAAGACACTGGAAGCAGCATCCTCAGGGAAGGAACAGTAGTCATTAAATAGTTCTAGGAAAACTGGCTCTCTGACCAGAAGAAAAAAAACTGTAATTATGTCTCTCCTTCAAGTCATAACAAAATATGTTCTGTATAAATCAAATAGCTGCAAGCAAAGTCAGAATTGAGTCCTGTGTTCTCATCTAATAATTTTTATGACTTTGGGATAGAGAAGGTGCTCTTAAACAAGATGAAAACATAAATCATAAAGGGAAAGATTGATAGATTCATTACATCAAAATTGCAAATGTTTGCAAAAGTCAGGCAAAGCCAAAAGGCAATTAAACAACATGACATATGTATACAAAGGGCATAAACAACTCAGAGAAGAAAACTCTGGGCCTGAAAGTTAGGCCATGCAGCCTTGCTGAGTGTGGGGCTATCAGAACTAGGCAGATATCATTACTGTTAGCCTAGCCCAATGGTTCTCAGCCTTCCTAATGCTTCACCATTTAATACAGTTCCTCATGCTGCCATGACCCCCAACCATAAAATGATTTCATTGCTACTTAATAACTATAATTTTTCTGCTATGAATTGTAATGTAAATATCTGATATGCAAGATATCTGATGTGTGATCCCTGTGAAAGAGTCATTAGCACCTGCCTCTGCAAAGAAGTCATGATCCACAAGTTGAGATCCACTAACCTGGAAAGAGTAAATGCAAGAAAAATGCAAGCTGACTTTCAAAATAAAAGTCTGGAAAAACTGAGCAGTTTGACAGAATCATTTACCAGTAAATAAAGATAAAGGGTAAAAAGATTTTATATACAATCCTAAGAACCTATTATAACCAACACTTCTTCGACCAGGGTTAGAGGTTAACTCAGCCAGCCTAGCTGTGGTGACCACTGAGAGAAAACACCTTCATGCAATGCATCAAATTAGACCTGTAAGGTTCGGCTGCAACTGTGGGGTGAGTGCTGTGCTAGATAGTGGGGCTTGGTAAAAGTTCTCCTCTCTATGTCTGGGAGCCCGACCCCTAGTTAAAACAAATGGGCTCGCAAGAAGAGTAAAAGAATTTCAACTGTGAACTAAAGGAATACAACTCTGTTGTAAGTCCTGACACAGCTAGTCAGGGGTAGCAGAACCAGATCCCTCTCACTGGGCTACAGGGAAACCCCAGCCATGCAAACTCGCTTCAGTCTACCTTCTGATGCCTTGTTCTTTAAATATGAAGGGCCACACATAGGGAAAAGAGCTTGCACTGTGAAAGAAAAGCTACAGACCAGAAAAAAAGGAAAGAACATAAGCGAGAGACCCAGGATGGTAGAGAAGAGGATGCAGAGAACTATACTGAATATCCCCAGAGCAGCAAGAGGGTCCACAGAGCCAGGATGCTGCCTAAATCAGCAGGCATTTAGAATGCAAAACAGACAACATAGAAAGGAAAAAATAGACAAAATCATGAAAATGGTAACACACAAGACAACTGGGTGAGACCGTGAAAGTGAGTAAGCACAGAGGAACTGTGACCTCTCTATCAACCAGTGAGGTCTAACTGTCACTTACCAACTCCTTCATGAGACAGATGCACAATACAAATACTGTCTTAGCCCACAGAGACCAATCACCAAGAAGGATCATCTCCTGAGACCTAAAGCAACCTCAGTATATTTAAAAAATACTTTTTAAAAAAAACCACAAATTACTTTCTCTGGGGTGAGTGATGTGTTTATAAAAAGATAAAGAGATAAAAAGAATATGTTCTGTGAGCGTGTGTGGTGAGGTATGGGGGAAGGTATGGGGTCTCAGTGGCCCCATGCAGAGACATCCCTTCCCCCTGAAAGACCAGTCACACAACAGTATAGTATAGAATTGGGTATATTCAGGACATGGGGAGGGGAGTTAAGAGGGTAGTAGAGGCAGAGGCAGAGAGAGAGAGAGAGAGAGTAGAGAAGTAGTGGCTGGCCATGAGCACGTGGAGAGAGGTGGAGGGGAAGGGAGAAGGGGCGAGGGGACAGAGGGGGAGCAAAAAGGCAAGAGAGCAAGAGAGAGAGGAGGGGGCAAGCAGCCCTTTTATAGTGGGCCAGGCCTACCTAGCTGTTGCCAGGTAACTGTGGGGAGGAGCATACTTGGCTGTTGCCAGGTAACTATGGGGGTGGAGTTTAGACAGAATACTAACAGTGGGGAGGGGGGGCTTAAATTAGAAGCCAATAATAATGTATCTAGAAAATTCTTTAACTGTTTATAAATAAAGCAATACATTTCTTTTTCACTCATAGGTAAAGAAAAATTAAAAAGAACATTAAAATATGTCACGGCATAGCAAATGTTACACTCCAAAATTTAAGGGATGTAACAACCCCTTGCAAAAAGATATAAGAATTTGTAGATGTGATCACTTTGGGAGCACAAAGGCCAGAATTGGAATGACACAAAGATTAGCATGGCCTCTGTGCAAGGATGACATGTAAATGTGTGAGGCACTCCATATTAAAAAGAGGAGGAAGAAGAGGAGGAGGGAAAGAAAGAAAGAAAGAGAGAGAGAGAGGGAGGGAGGGAGGGAGGGAGGGAGGGGGAGGGAGAGGGGAGGGAGGGAGGGAGAGGGGGGAGGGAGAGGGGAGAGGGAGAGAGGGAGGGGGAGGGAGAGGGGAGGGAGGGAGGGAGGGAGGGAGGGAGGGAGGGAAGAAGGGAGGGGTTTATACCTTTATAGCTTTAACTGCACATATTAGCAAAAAGCATCGAACCATTAAATGTCATACTTTTTACCACAAACTATGAAGAAAGCACGAATTAAGCTCAAAGGAAAAAAAATAATAAGGAGAAGAAGTAAATAAATTTTAAAATAATGAGGCTAGAAAAGGTTTATTATCCTAAATGCTGGTCTTCCTTTCCAAATAAATAAGTAAACAAATATAGAAACTACTAACAGAGAAAAAGAAAGAAAAGAACAACAGATTCATTCCATAGATGCAGATGACACTAGACAGGAGTGTCAGAAACACAATTAAACTAATGAGGTGGAAAACGGTAATGTCACAGACAAAACAAATAGCAGAAGAAACATAGACAATTTAAGAGGGAGAGGGGCTTTGCCACAAAAGCTGTACTCTGGACCAAGATAGACCCTATCGATTTAAAACAAAGAAACAATACCAAAAAGAAAAGGGAAAAGGGTGTGTATCTCTTAATGAGACTAGTATAATAAGAATCATAACTAGATGAACAAATAAATCAAAACTCCTCCATTACCTAGAGTTAGAGACAGCTTGGGTTATCCATCAACCACCTGGTGGAAAACCTTCCCTAAAGACCTCTAAGAAGGACCCCCACCCCTCCAAACACACACACACACACACACACACACACACACACACACACAGAGCCTCGTGGGCCTTGAGTTCTGTTACCATCTGTCTGTTTATTGCATTAATAACTCTTCTAATAATCCTTACCCAAAATGACGGCCTGCCTTAGTGTCCTCTACCACCTGCTTGAACTCCAAACCTAAAAGCTTCCACCAGGCATGTAAGAACATGCCATCCGACAGCCACAAAGCATGTGCTCTTCCCTCAAGCACATGTAAAGTGTACTCTAGGCTAGTACACACATGAGGCCACAAAGCAAGTTCCAACAAAGATAAAATCATATGGAATTTCCTCTCTGACTGCAATGGGATGAGTCTAGAAATCAATGGTAAAAGAAGGGGATTCATAGACAGGTGACAATTAAGTGACTTGCCTTTTCAGTTTAGATCATTTTCAAATTACTTATTTTTATTTGCTTACAGGTATTGTATATGGAACACATCCCACCTCAACCCCTTTTCCTCCCTTCTGCCTTCTCCTTTCTGCCTCCGTTTAGCACCACCCCCACCCCCACCCTACCCTATTGTGGACAGTTTCTTTTCTATTTTTATTAACATAAAAATACTCCATTTTCTGATTTTCCTGGACCTCGCCTGAGATCTAGGATCTACAAATGAAAGGGAACTTAATGGCTTTTGTCTTTCTGAGAATGGTTTAATTTGCTTAATTCGATTGACCCCATTTTCCTTTAAGTGACTTGACTTCCTTCTCCTGATGACTGAAAAGAATGTGACAGTGTGCATAGGCCACTGAACCTCTGCTAGAGTCTTGGGTGCTAGAGTCCTGAGTTGGCTTAATGGCTCAGCTATGGGTCATAGAAGAAGAGAATCAAAGAGAATTAGAAAACTAAGCCAAGAGCAGAAAACAAGGATGGACAGGCTCAGGTGCTCAAATTGATGTGTTTATAAAACAATAAAAAGTATGTTCTGTGGGTGTGTGGAGAGGTATGGGGGAAGGGGATGTCCCAGCGGGCCCATACCGAGGCATCTCTTCCCCCTGAGGGACCAGTCACATACCAGTATAGCATAAAATAGTGTTTATTCAGGGCATGGGAAGGGAATCCTGGGAGAGCTAACATTTTGATTTCCTTATTATGAAGCCACCAGGATGCAGTCATTGTGACATCTCTGTATTAGTTAGAGTCCTCTAGAGCAATGGTTCTCAGCCTTCCTAATGCTGCAAGTCTTTCATGTCGTGGTGAACCCCCAATCATAAAATTTTGTTGCTACTTCACAACTGTAATTTTGCTACTATTATGAATCATGATGTCAATATCTGATATGCAGAATATCTGTGAAATAGCCCTGTGAGAGGGTTGTTTGAACTCCCCAAAGGGTTGCAACACAGATTGAGAACTTCTCTCCAGACTGACAAAACTGATAGAACTAATGTACATCTATAAAGGGGATTTACTAGAATGGCTTACAGGTCACCGTCCAGCTAGTCCAACAATGGCTGTCTACTAAAGGGAGTTCCAAGAACCCAGTAGGTTTTCAGGCTGATGTCTCAGCTGGTCTTGATCACACACTGGAATCTTGAGGATGTACCCCCCAAGGCTAGTGAGACTAAGAGAGAGAGCAAGCAGACAAAGAGAGCAAACTTCCTTCTTCCACGCCTCTTATATAGGCTCCCAGATTGAAGGTGCATCTTACAACTCAACAGATCCAGATGAAGAGTGGGTCTTCTCACTTCAAATGATTTAATTTAAAAAAAAAAAAATCCTCAGAGGTGTACCTAGCTGCTTGGGTTTTAGTTAATTCCGATGTAGTTGAGTTAACAATCAAGAATAGCCATCACAAACCCCTAATGACCTCGTCTCATTTGAAATGCCACCCAGCCCTGTCACTTTTAAATACCACAGGTAAGTGTCTAACTGCTGAATACATGGCAATGAGTATTAAATTCCACACCCAGCCACAGCAGAGACACATCTAGAGACCTGAAGATAGAGCAGACATCAGACATGTCAGTTCTAGGAGCAAGAACAGTTCAGAGAGAATAGCTAAGTGAAAGGTGTAATAAGCTGAGGCAAATACATACCAAACAAACTCACACACCAACCTAGAGAACAGGACATGAGCCTTCTCTCATCTGTCCTGATGTTCTGTATCTCCTACTCTCACATAAACATATACACACATGTAGTCACACACAAACAAATAACACATACACACATTTGCATACAATCTAATTGCCCCCTTTCTCTTCTCTTTTTCGTTCCCAGTGACACACATTTTCTAGGATGACTTACTTACCCCAGCTTGCCTAAGATTTTTCCCAGTTTCAGTACTGAAGTCTAGTATATGAGATGTCCCTGAATCCCACACAGCCAGAGACAGTGGTCCCCAACTTCCAATACTATTAACTATTTGTCTGTTGTATGTTCCCTGGCTTTCCTATACAGAATGCAAGTGTTAGGAGGATAATGATGATTGATTCTAGAGTAGTACAAGTGTCTCAGTGGGCCCTTGGCAATAGGAGGCACTCTATAAATAGTAAGTGAATAGATAGGGAGTAGGAAAGTAAAAGAAAAATCAGAGAATTGACATGAACCAGGTCATATGGAAATTTGCATCCACTATAAAGACTCTGAACTTGATTTGAGTAGGATGGGAAACTCCTGGTGGGATGCAGACACAGGCAGACTTCAGCCTTTCAGAGATGACTCTCAAGAGAAGTCACTTAGGAGACCTTGAATAAACTAGCAGGTAAGCCATCTCAGGCTAGGGTTCAGCAGCAAAGGCGAGAAGTGGCCACATGTTTCCAACATGAGGTCTACTAAGGGCAGCACCAAAAACATTGCAAAGGATGAATATGGGATTTATTCCTCAGAAGGAAGAGTTTTCAGGTAGCTTTGACACATAGTCACTGTAGTGTTTATAAGAAGATAAAGAGTATGTCCTGTGGGTGTGTGGAGAGGTATGGGGGGAGGGGATGTCTTGGTGGGGCCCATGCTGAGTCATCTCTTCCCCCTGAGGGACCAGCCACACGATGGTATAGTATAGAATAGAGTTTATTCAGGGCATGGGGAGGGGAGCCAGGAGGGTAGTCGAGGCAGAGAGAGAGAGAGAGAACACAGAGAGGTAGAGGAGTAGAGGTCAGCCATGACCACGTGGAGAGAGGGGAAAGGGAAGGGGGGAGGGTCGAGGGGACAGAGGGAAGCTAGAGGCAAGAGATTAAGAGAGTAAGAGATTAAGAGAGAGAGAAGGGAGCAAGCAGCCCCTTTTATAGTGGGCAGGCCTACCTGGCTGTTGCCAGGTAACTGTAGGGAGGAGCATACCTGGCTGTTGCCAGATAACTGTGAAGGTGGAGTTTAGACAGAATACTAACATTCCCCAATTTTGGTTTAATTAAAAAAGAAAAATTAGGAAGAGGTGACAGTGAAGCAGGAATAGGTTCGTCGTGCTATCTGGCTACTTCCTGCTGGCATTGGGGGCAACGTGTCTTTTCGGGGAACCTAGAAGAATGGGTATGGGAGATGTTTGTCCGGTCTTAGGAGAGTTGGCTGTTTCCTGCTGTCCAGAGTCTATGAAGCGGGCCATCTGAGGATAGGTCAGAAGGAACAGGTCCAGTAGAAGCAGCTGTGTGTGTGACAGGAGATGGAGCATCTGGAGGTTGCTTCTCTGGAGCTGTTCTGGATGTGCCGGGCCTTGACAAGATGTAGGGAATAAGATTAAGTACATTTGAGAGAAAGAAAAATTTTCTAAGATGTACATTTGAGAGGGATCCCACCCTTTGTAATAGGTAGTAAGTGGGAACTTTAGGCAGATGTACTTATCTGGATGGTATCTATTTGGTCCATGAGAGGTAGTGGGTTTCCTGTAGCTTATAAGTTTACAAAAGAGAGAACAGCATGAGTTAACAACATGAGCAGTCTTTAACATGAGCCTTTGCTGGATCGTATAGTGGAATGTTTTATTAGAGTTAGGCAAGTTTACAGGAACTCAGATAATTTAGGACAGTGGGATAGTAAGAAAAGGAAATATGAAGCATTTAATTAATGCAACTTAGTTTAGGTAATGAGGTAACAGATAATATCTGTGGAAGCTTAGCTGTCAATGTAGTCAGAAGTCTGAGAAAGAGTAAACAATAATCTACCAGTTATATATTATTTTAAAAATGACAGAGTC